CACTCACCCTCCCCTCTACACACCCATCACACCAGCTTCTCTCTGCTGCACCTTCTGGAACCCTCTGTGACCCCAGAATCCCCAAAGAGTCCACAGGGCCTGTCCATATCCTGTCCTACAGGTGCTGGAATCCTCTCTCTGGCCCCCACTCTGTCTGTCTGGTGGCTTGTGTGACATGCAGCCTGCAGGACCTGTGCACCGGGGACATTTCCCACTGGACAGTTCAGACTCTTTCCCTGGCCCCTCTGGCCTGACCTGTGACTGCCCATCCTGGCAGACTAACCCACTCTGCTCCTCAGAGCCCTCCCAATCCACCTGCCTCCCTTGGGTCAAACAAGCTGCTTCACACCGCAAGTCGCTGCCCACCCCAAGAACCTACCGTCTGGAGAGCATCACTGATCTTCCCGCCACCCCAGTGGCCGCTTCCACCTGACCCTACACCGCCCCCATCCATCCACGCTCCGTCTTTGCCTGTCTTGGCAGGAGTGCCCCAAAGCAGAGCAGGGACCCAGGGATGCAGGAACATGTGGTTGTGAAGGAGGATACTCAGGACAAACAGTAAATGGGCAGCGAGAGGGGGAGCTTGGAGAGGGCAGCATCAGGGCAGTCTAGAAGTGGCCAGTGGGCTGAGGGGACAGAAACACAGCTGACAGGCCCAGGCGATCGTACAGTGGGTAGGGGGTTTGCCTTGCCTATGACTGATTCAGGTTCGGTTCCCAGCATCCCATATAATTCCCTGAGCCCTCCAACCCCACCCCAGAGTGATCCGTGAGCACAGAGCCAGAAGTAAACCCTGAGCATTCCTGGGTGCTGATGGGGGTCATCCTACAGACAGGGAGACCAAGGCTCCCAGGGTTGAGTGCGCCCCTTGAGCGGGATGGCGGAACTGGCATCAAACTCAGGTCCGCCTGACTTGGACTGGCATGTACCACTCCCACCTTACCCCAGTGTGAACATCACCCCAGAGCTCAGCCCTTCCTGCCCCTGGTAAGAGACCGGTATGTCTGGGCTTCCCTCTGCCCACAATAGTGCTCAGCTAAGCTCAGGGTTGTGGGGGCCACATGTGCCTTCCAAGCATGGAGGGCTGGACATGCAATTTGCATCCGATCTGCATAATGCTGGCATCTGGTTTGCATGTGTACGCAATGAGGGCCTTGCAGCCAGGCGCAGTTTTTGTTCTTGTCTTGGGGCTCCACCCAGCAGTGCTTAGGGACTGCTGCTCCTGCTTTGGGTGGGGAAGCTGTGAGGGGGTCAAACCCAGGATTCATGAATGCAAAGAATGTGCTCCAGATCCTCAAGCCATCTCTCCAGGCCCTCAGCAATTTTTAAGCACTTTCTAATCTTTTTTCTTTATTATTATTTCAATCCACCACACCCAGCAGAACTCAGGGCACAGTGCTCATACCTGGCTCTATGCTCAGGGATCACTCCTCACTAGTGCTTGGGGGACCATATGTGGTGCTGGGGATCTAGCTAGATTCAGCCACATGCAAGGCAGGTGCCTACTCACTGTACTTACTCTCTCTCAGGCCTCTTCTGTAGCTTCTAACCCGTTCGTTTAGCACAAGTCCACCCAGGCCTTACAAAGCCCAATTTTATGAGCTTTGGACTCCCTCAGTCCCCAGGATTTGAACCTTGGTGCTTCCTTTCTCCACCTCAGGATCCCCCCCACCCCAAAAGCCAAAGCCAAGGTTCTGTCTTGCAGAAGGAGTGGCCCCGATCCCGCTGCCGAAATGGGGTTTGACTTTCACTTTTGTGGAGGGTGTAACTGTCATCTAAGTGCCCGGAGCTGCTGCTTCTATGCAGGGAAAGTGAAGGCAGGGCACCAGCCTGGCTGCAGGTCCTGCCCCTGGGCTCCGTGTGGACATCCTTGGGGTACATGGGGAGAAAGGCCACCCCAGCCTGGAGGCAGCAGGGGCTTCACTGCAGGGCCAAGGTTTCACCCCTGTCAGCTGCTGTCCCAGCAGCTTGTTTCTGTCTTGCAGGGAAATGCATGCCATGAAAGCCCGTGGGGTTCTCACTGGTCTCACGCGTGAGCCCCGGAGGAAAAGAGGGAGACATGTGCTGAATGAGTGGGACTTCCGGGCAGGGATGGCCCAGCCAGGGTCACATGGTCAGTCCCTGCCAGACCCAGCCTGTTCTCTCTGCGCCCAGAGCACTTTCTTTCCTTCTGCCCCCACCCAGACCTTTGGAGCCCATGGAAGGGGAGACCCACCATTGTCAGTCCCCACCCCCCGACTCGGGTGGCCCCCACCATGGTGCTCACAACACCTCACAGGGTGGCTATTGTCATCCTGGTGGTGTTCCTCTTCCTGCTGAGGTCAGGTGCCACCTGTGACAGGGCAGCCCCCGGGAGAGGACCCTGGACAGAGTCTGCAAAGGCTGCTTCTCCGTGAGGAGTAGGCCCCACTTCCACGCAGGTGTAGGGACATCAGGCTGAGGGCCCCCCCACCCGCCCCAACACAAGCTGTCTCCCTCCTTCCCCTGCCTCCGGCCTCCCTGGGTTTCCTGTCTGGCAGATGCGAGTCTCTGCCTCATCTGCGGGGGAGACCCCAGCCTCTGGCTGGATCCAGCCAAGATCCTGAGCATCTGCCCCCCTCCCCACACACATCCTCCTCCTCGGGGCTGGGGCCCCAGGGCTGGCTCCCCAATCTGCTCCAATTAAAGAGGGAGCACCATGTTTGATGTCAGCCACCTGGGGCCATCGGGGAGGAGAGCAGGATCCAACTGTTCTCAGCCCCTCAGTGCACCCTCCTTCCCGTCCTGTGAAGTTTTCCAAATGCAGACAGGGGTTCCCTCCCCCATGACTTGTGGGCCCAACAGCTGGCTGTGGGGAAGGGAGTGAGAGGAAGGGGTGGGAGCTTGGGAAAGGATCTCAGGGTGTGGAGGTGATCGGCCGGGGTAGGGGGGGTGTCCTCAGAGCTGCTGGGCAAGGCTGCCCCCTGCCAGGCACGTTGGGCATCCAGGGTGGGAAGGCAACTCTGTCCAAAGCCCCTCAGCTCTCTCCAAGTGCCAACAGGTCAGCGAGGCAGGAGGAGGCTACATCTGTGTGTGCTTCTGCCTCCAACAGGACTCAGGTGTCCTGGAGAACAGTCTGGGGGAAGATAGAAGTCCTTGGGTTGCCAGGCACCCCTGTGAGGCTCTGACCCCATCACTCCCCCCAGAACCACGAACTCACTGTTCCCAGGAGCTTCTCCATCCCACACTGTAGTCTTCCCCTCCCCTGCCGCAGGCCCCCACCGCCAGGGACCCTTCTCTGTCACCTCAGACTAATGTCCGCCTGGGATCTCTCAGTGCCACCTGGTCTTTGAGGCTGCCCTTGTTTCAGGTAGGGCCAGCCTCAACAGGTGCGCCCTGGGCACCGGTAGTAGCAGAGGTCATGGCCACAGCAATGCGCTTGACCAAGGTGGCGGCAGGGCTGCCACAAACCTGGGAGCTGCACAGGTGGTCCTGGGAGCTGGGAGGGCAAGTGGGGGTTTCCTGAGCCTCTGGAGCCAGCGGACTTGGAGCATCCAGCAAGGTATTTGTTTGGGTTTGGTCTGGGGACTACACCCTGCAGTTCTCAGGCACCACTCCTGGCTCTGTGCTTGGGGGTTGCTCCTGGCAGTGTGTGGGGGGACCATATGTGGTGGCTAGGATCCGTTCCTGCCTCTAGCCTCCTGTCTGCAAGCGGCCGCTCAGACCATTGAATGAACTCTCTCTGTCTCTGTCTCTGTCTCTGTGTCTCTCTATGTCTCTGGATTTCTGCCCCCCCCCCCTCTTTCTAGCCCCACTATTGCTGTTGTTTTAAGGGTTCACACTTGGGGTAACTTGTCCCTGCCCTTGTAGGACACTAACAGCCTGCCTACATGGTGGAACCCCCCCCCCCCCCCCCCCCCCGTCCCCTCCGTTTCGGTTTTTCAGGTCCACAGCACAGGTCTAGCGTCTGCCCTCCAGGACCTATCACCATCCAGGCCAGGTGAGTGCAGGGGTGCAGCAGTGGATTTCCAATGGACTCCTGTCCCCCACTTTTGACCTCGTCACTTTCCCCAAAGGGTGTGGATTCACCACATCTCCAGGTCAGGTCAGAGGGTGGTCTCTCCATGTGCGTCCTGAGTGTGGGGCCTTCTGCACACCCCTCAGCTAGTGGGGTACAGATGCGGAAGCCTGGGGTCACCTGGAGGCTGAGACAAAAGCAGCGGGCGAGGTTTCTCGCTTCCGAGTTGGCCAGATGCACCTCGATGACGGTGACTGCGCTGATCCAACAAGACACTGAGCAATGGAGGCCAGAGACAGGAAAGGTGAGGTCTGGAGCCAGAACAGGCAGGCTACCAGCCCAGGGTGGGAGTGAGAGGGACCCTCCTGGTGAGGCCACGGCCTGGAGCTGGGCTCTCCTGTTTCTCCAAGAAACTCGGGGACAGTCTAGCCGGGGACAGGGCGGGATGTAGGATGGTACAAGAAGGAGTGCAGGACTTGGCGACCAGACACGCTGCAGAACCCAGCGAGCAGTTCTCACGTGTCCTGCGCGCCTCGGATCCACGAGGCAGCCGCGCGAACCAGCGGGGTCTGTCTGGGGCCTGTTCCAAAGAGGTGGCTGAGGAGGTGTCGCTGGCGCGCCCCCAGAATGCGATCATCTCCGCTGCGGAACCGGAGACCGCGCCGGCGAGGCGCGCACGGACGTGGGGGGAAACCGGGTGTCGTGCGCGGGCGGCGCGTGGGCTCTGCGGCTCCCCGCGTGGCCGGGTCCACGCGGGCGACCGCGGAGGACGCGTGTGTTTCGGGGTGCGTGGGGGGGGGGCGCCCGGTCCCCGCGGGTCCCCCTGGCGGCTCGGGGCTGCGCCCTGCAACCACCCCGGGCGCGCAGGCGGCCCCTCGGGCGCCGTCGGCTCGGAGCTGGGGCGGGGGGCGGCGCGGCCCCGAGTTTATGCTAATCGGCGCAGAGCCCGCCCCCCGCCTCCCCTCGGCGGCCCCAGGCGCGAGCCGCGCCGGCCACTCGGCGGGACGCAGCGGCCCAGCGAGCTCCGGGGGCCGCGGGCGACACCGGCGCGGGGCCAAGCTCGGCCGCGATGGGCCGCCGCCGCCTGCTCTGGCTGTGCGCCGTCGCGGCGCTGCTCTCGGGGGCGCAGGCCAAGGGCACCCCGCTCCTGGCGCGGCCCGCGCCGCCCGCGGCCGCCCGCTACAGCCTCTACACGCCGGGATGGCGCCCGCGCCCGCGGCCGCACAAGTAAGGGGGGGATTCGGCGCGGGGTGCCCGGCGCCCTCCCACCTACCTGCCCTGTCGGGCGCGCGCGCGCGCGCGGGGTTACCCGGCCCCCGGTCCCTTCCAGGGGGTCGCGCGGCTTGGCCCCGGCGGGCGCCCCACATACTCCAGGGGGCTGCTGCGGGGCTGGCGCAGAAAAAAAAAAAAAGCCGAGGGGGAACCTGGCTCAGCGGTCCGGGCTCCTTCCTGGCAGTGCCCGCGGAAACCTTTCCAGCTAAGTAACGTTTTCCAGCTGCGCAAACTCCGGGCACCTCCGTCCAGGTGGAGGGAGAGCGGGGGAAGGGTGGTCGCGGGCCGGGGCACGCGTGGCGCCCAGTCCCGCGCCCAGCCGCCGCCCTGCGCTGGTCCTCCCGGCCCGCCCTCCAGGTAGGCGATGGATGGAGCAGCCTTGGGCCACGCGCCCCTCCTCTGTCCGCGGACAGCGGGGCCCGCTTGGGGGTTCCCCAACAGCGTTGAGCTGCGGAGCTGGGCTCGGGGTGGCGGCTGGAGGTCCCGCTTGGGGGCCCCGCAGGTGGTTTGCTTATGCCAGCAGCGACCTCCTCCCGGGCAGGCCCCGCGTGCTCGATGTGGGAGACGGGGCTTAGTGGACAGCTTGTACTTCTCCTGGAGCTGACTGGAATCTCAGAGGCCTTACAGGAGCACGCCTAAATCCCTAAGTAGATGCCCAGTGCACTTGGGCACATCAGACCGACTTCCTGGAGGACGTGACATGAGACGTGATCTGAGAGCAAGGAACCCAGAGCTAGGGCAGGGGCTGCACAATCTCACGGGTGTGTGTGTGTGGGGGGTGCATTTCCCCAGGAATCAGGCCAGGGCAGCTGGGAGAAATGTGGTCCTCGAGGAATTAGCAGACGGGGGAGAGAGAGCTCAGTGCAGGGGACTTGCTTTGTGTGCATGCAGGAATCTCATGCATGGCCAGTCTCCTGAACATTGGGCAAAAGGGACCCCTGAGCTCCCCCACCCCAGTAACCCCCTCCCAAAAAAAAATTTCCTCAGGCACCAAGCTGAGGTTTCTGAAGCCGTGTGTTTCAGTAAGAAGGAGGCAGGGAAGGAGCTGGTGGGAGGGGGCAATGGGCTAGGATGGGTGGGGGGGGGGAGGGGGTAGGAGGTTATTTCCCAGACAGGGAGGGCAGAGGTGAGGCTGGACAGGGCTGCCATCGGAAGTCCTGGCTCAGTCTAGCCCTCAGCCCAGTTGGCAACCCTGGGAGAGACCGACGGTGGGACTGTCTGGAGGCACTGGAGGAGAAAGCAGAGATGCGGGGGTCTGTTCCCCTTGCGGAGACCCAGGGAGAGGCAGGCGGTGCCAGGGTCGGGCCTCTGGGAGTCGCAGCCTCCCCTCCTCCCCTGCAGGGCCCTCTGCGCCTACGTGGTGCACAGGAACGTGACCTGTGTCCTACAGGAGGGAGCCGAGAGCTACATAAAGGCTGAGTACCGGCAGTGTGGCTGGGGGCCCAAGTGCCCGGGGACCATCACGTGAGTCTTGGCCCTGCCTTCTTGCCCCCCTCCCCCTTTCTCCTCCTCCGCCCCCCCCTGCCCGCTGGGCTGGGGACCCACCCTGGGCTGCCTTCAGCTGGGAGCAGCCGCCAAGTCTGCTGTAACACGGTGGGTTGGGACTCTCCAAAGAACCCTCCCCGATCTCCACACCTGCCACAGAACAGAGGACCAGAGTGGCAGTGGCTGAGGGGAAGGGCACCCCATGTAGGATCTGGGTGCGGGCACAGGCCAGAAGGGTAGGCTGTGGGCACCTGTGTTGTACATGGGATGAAGCCCAGGTCTGTGTGGGTCGCATGTGGGTCTGAAGGCAGATATGTGGGTGCGTGTGCCCAGGGGTGCACAGGTACAAAGTCAGACAGATAAAGGATGACTCCAGAATTCCCAAGGGTCATGGTGCTTATGACCCTTAGAAATTTTGGAGGGGTCTTGGGAGTGTAGTGACAAGTCTCCCCTAATCTTCTCTGTCTCCCACACAGGGAGGGCTCCTGTGCCCTGGGAGCACCCTGGCAGCTTAAACACAGGAGAAGGGATCCCCGGGGGTGGTGTAGAGGAAATCAGGAATCTGAGCACCGTCCTGACCCTGACGCCAGCAGCAGAGGGACCCACAGCCTCTCCCGTCTCTGCCCAGGTACCGCACAGTGCTCAGGCCCAAATACAAGGTCGGCTACAAGACAGTGTCAGACCTCGCCTGGCGCTGCTGCCCTGGCCTCACCGGAGAGGGCTGCCCCGAGCACCTCCGGGGTCACGGCGCCACACCGCAGCCGGAGCCTGAGTCCCCGATTCCCTCTGAGGATTTGGGCCCTGGCCCCAGGCCCCCTCCTTCTGGCAGAGTGCCCCCCAGCCTCCATGGTGAGTCTGGCCCTGGAGACCCTCTTTGGGTGGGGTGGGAGGGAACTGCCCAGGCTGGACTGGGGAGGAGGCAGCTCTAGCTGGGAATTAGGGTGACCCTTCAGACGCCAAACCCCAAAGTGGAGGGATCAATGGGGCCAGTACGATAGTACAAATGGTAGGGCATTTGCCTCATACACGGCCAACGTGGGTTTGATCCCCAGCATCCCATATTGTTCCCTGAGCACTGTCACTGTCATCATCCTCCCGTTGTTCTTCAATTTGCCCGAACGGGCCCAGTAACATCTCCATCGTGACACTTGTTATTGTGTTTGGCATATCGAATACGTCATGGGTAGCTTGCCAGGCTTTGCCGTGCGGGCGAGATTCTCTCGGTAGCTTGCCAGGCTCTCTGAGAGGGGCGGAGGACTCGAGCCTGGGTCAGCCTGGTCGGCCACGTGCAAGGCAAATGTCCTAGCTGCTGTGCTATGGGGGAGTAATTCCTGAGTGCAGGAGTAACACCTAAGCATTGCCAGGTGTGGTCCCCAGATCAAAAATAAATCATACAAAATACAAACTCAAAGTTGAGGGAGCAGCAAGGAGCTTAGAACAGGAAGTCCCTCTGGCGAGCACAGGACAGAATGAGACCGGCCACCCTCCTGTCCTCTCCCAGGATGGAAAGGCCCTGGGTTGTTTGCCGAGCGGCTCGAACGGCTGGAGGCGGATGTCCGGCGCCTGGCACAAGCGTACGGGACCCTCAGTGGCCTGGTGGCCAGCCACGAGGACCCCACTCGGGTGAATGGTGACTCCAGGGCTCCTGTGGTACCCGTGGGCTTTGGGGTTATCCCCGAGGGGGTTGTGAGCCCCGGACACGGAGCTGGCAGGCCGCTTACACCTCCCCTGGATGAGCTCTTGAGCAAGGTGACCGAGGTGAGTGACACGCTCCAGACCAAGGCGCGGCTTCTGGACGAAGTGCACGGGCTGGCCCTGGACCACGAGGCCCACCTGCAGAGGCTGCGGGCGGTGGCCCCTTCTCCGCTCACCTCCCTGGCCCTGTTGGATGAGTACGTGGATCAGCGCCTGCACCGGCTCTGGGGCAGCCTGCTGGACGGCTTCGAGCAGAAGCTGCAGAACGTCCAGAGCGAGTGTGGCCTGCGGGTGCAGGAGGTGCGGCAGCAGTGTGAGGAGGGCCAGGCGGCCAGCGAGAGGCTGCACCAGAGCCTGGATGGCCGCGAGCTGGCCCTGCGCCGCGAGCTCTCCCAGCTGGGCACCCAGCTGCAGGGCCTGAGCGTGGTGGGCGGTGCCACCTGCTGCGGCCAGCTGGCCTTGATCGGTGCCCGGGTGGACAGCCTGGAGCAGCACCTGCAGGGGGTCCCCGAAGCACCAAGGGGCCGTGGCCCCCTCACCCGGGAGGAACTCACACAGCTCTCCGCTGCCATGCTCGACGGGGGTGCAGACGGGCTGCTCGAGGGCCTGGAGACACTCAATGGGACGGAGCGGGGCACGAGGGGCTGCTGTGGGGGGGTGGGGGAGGAGGCGTGGGGCGCAGGCGGCTTCAGGACCCTGCTGGAGGGGCGGGTGCAGAGCCTGGAGGAGCGCCTGGGGAGCCTGGCCGGGGAGCTTAATGGTGATGGTGCCCCCCCAGGTAGGGCATCCCAGCCCCCCGTGCAGACTGAGCTGGCGGTGCTGGAGCAGCGGCTGGTGTCGCTGGAGACTTCGTGCACCCCCAGTGCCACCTCGGCCATCCTGGACACGCTGGTGGCCGAGGTGAAGGCCTGGCAGAGCCAGAGCGAGGCACTCCTCCGCCAGGTGGCCAGCCACACCGCTCTGCTGCAGCAGCTCCGTGGCACCGTGGCTGAGGTCCAGGGGCAGCTGGCGGAAGCGACGGGCAGCTCCCTGCAGGGCGAGATCACCCTGCTCAAGGTGAACTTGAACTCCGTGAGCAGGTCCCTCTCGGGCCTCAGCGACTCTGTCAGTCAGTACACGGACGCCTTCCTGGCCGCCAACTCGTCCCTGGACGAGCGGGAACGCCGCGTAGAGGCTGAGGTCCACGCCATCCAGGAGCAGCTCAGCGGCCATGGCTCCCGGCTCCACGCTGGCCACAGGCAGGTCCTCAGTCTGCGGGGCGAGCTGGAGCAGCTCAAGGCTGGCGTCGCTGACGTGGCTGGTGGGCTGAGCCGCTGCCGGGACACGGCCCGGGAACTCCAGCACGCGGTGGGCCACTTTGACCGCAGGGTGGCTCAAGTGGAGGGTGCCTGTGGGAGGCTGGGCCTGCTGGAGGCCGGCTTGGACAACGCGCCCCACGAGACACACGGACCCCGCGAGGGGCTGTGGGGCCACCTGGACCAGCTGAACCGCACACTGGCCCAGCACGCCCAGGATATTGCCCGCCTCCAGGATGACCTGCTCCACTGCAGGGCGCAGCTGGCTGGGCAGGAGCGGCCCGGGAGAACAGACTAGGTGGGCTGGGCAGGGCTCTGTGCCCAGACCATGCCCTCCTACCACCACTGGCATCCTCACTTGGTGTCTCCCTAACGTGACCGTCAGAGACAGCAGGTGGATCTCGGAGACTGGCTGACCTCTTATTTCACTGCCCATCCAGAGACTCACAGGCCTGTGCGGCAGCCCACCCACATCTGCTGGGGGTTAGGACCTGGGGGCTGGCCCAACGTGGGGGCTTTGGGGGAGCTCCTCCACTTCCTCCCCTGGGTCATTTCTGCAGGGGTTCTGGGGAGGCCCGCTGGGTCACTTAACACCTGGCACTGCCCTAGATGCTGTTTCTGAACCCCAACGTGAGGGTCTTCCGGACGGAACAGAGACGCTAAGACTTGGCTGAGTGTTCTCTATTTCCCACCCAGGTGGGTGGGTTCAGGGAGAGGGGAGGGGCAGCTGGGCATCTGTAGAATCTCCAGGAAGGAGGGATCAGTCCGAGCCAGTGGATTCTTTTCCTTCCTTCCCCAAGGATGTGTTCAGGGCACTTCTATCTCCACAGTTCCTGGTTTCCTTTGTGGGGGTGAAGTCTCCCCCCCCCCCGTGGTGGTGGTGGGGGGAGGGGGCACTGTGTTGGCAGAGTGTCCCGGAGGAGACCAGACCCCAGTGGGAGGGGAAGGGTTTGGGCCCATTCTGGCATCTTTGCAAAACCCCAGTTCGGGATGGGATGGAAATAAGATGCTGGACCGTCTCCCCTGAACGCCCCTGGAAAGTCGTGTTCATATAGCCACGTGGCTCTTGTGAGCCACCTCCGCTGTGCTTCCTGGACACCTCCTGCTGGACAGTATGGGGAGTTCCCACATAGACCTGCCTTTGGGTTTCTCCACAGGTGCTATCCTGCCTTGTCCCCACTTGGTGCTATTTGGAGGGTGGGCCTGGATTAAAACTTCTAACCAGCTGGTGGGTGTTTCTCTGCCCCCAAGACGGAAGGGGAGGTGCCAAGAGCTTCTGGTCCCTACTCGGCAGCCACGTGGGCACACTGATGGGCAGAGGCTGGGGGGGATGGCTGGAGGGTGCAGGTGGCCTGCTGGGTGTGAGGCTCTAGCCCCAGGGGAACAGGGCAGGCAGCTGCCTGGGTGCTGGTGAGGTTGATCCCGGTGCCCAAGGGTGCTGGAGAATTCGGGCTTGGGGCCCGGAATGAGAAACAGGCACCCCCTGGGTATGTGGGGGCTCCTGACCAAGACTTGAGTGCGGGAGCCAGAGAGAGGGTCTGGGGTTCAGGCACTGGCTTTGCATGCAGCTGACCCCAGTGAGATACCCTGGCACTGTGTATGGTCCCTCTGAGCACTGTCAGGAGTGACCCCTGGGCATAGAGCCAGAGACAGGAATAAACTCTGACCACTCCCACTGCCCTCAGGGTCCCCCAGAAAAGAATTGAGAGGAGGGGGGCCAGAGAGGATGGGGGTTAAGGCACTTGCCTGTTTGATCCTGGCTCCCCCTATGATACCCTGAACAGTATCAGGAGTGACCCCTGACCACCCAAGGGTGTAGCCCAAGCCCTCGACCCCACCAAAAACCCAAAGAGCTGGGGGCAGGAGCCAGGGCCAGGGTTGAAGCTCCCCAAAGAGGAGACAAAGGAAAGCACGTCATCTTGTCCCTGAGGCTACTCACAGCGCCCCCTCCCTGCATGCCCAAGCCTTGGGGGTGCCCCTAGACAGGGTCCTACCAGGAATTGCTGCCCAGGGTGACAGGGACAGATACCCAGAGTATAGAGCAGCCTGCTTGGTGACGGTCATCGATGGCCTCTGGCTAAGGTGGTGTTGAGGCCTGGCAGCAGGCCTGGATGGAGGAGCAGGTGGGTCTGTGCGGGGCAGCCCCTGCTGTCCCTTCCTTGGGGGTCCTGGCACCCCCGGGGCCCCGGGAGTTGTAGTGAGTTCCAGGCCGAGTCTGGAGGGAGTTAGGCAGGGCAGGTTCAGGCCAGGGCATCAAAGTCCACTGTGGTTGGGGGCTGTCGCCAGTAGCAGAAGTCACTGTACTCGGGGTCAGCCAGGTCCATGCAGGGGCCACGGGCCACGGGGGGGAAGAGGAGCTCTACCACCTCGCCGAGCCGCTCATACCTATGGGACCAAGGGCAGAAAGGGGAAGGGGGGTAACAGCTGGGCTGGAGCTGCCAGTGGCCACCATCCACCCACTCCAGTCCAGCCTGGGCGCACGCGTGGGGGACGGGCAGCGCATGGCCTCACGTGGACTTGTGGTTCTTGATGAGCTCCTGGATGAGTTCCCCCCGGGGGTTGACAGTGAAGATGCGGGACTCGGGGAGGCCCACCTGCCGGTAGGCTGTGACATCCTGCGGACGACAGGGGGCTGCTGGACAGAGCCACGTCTGCAGGGCAGATGTGGCTCTGTCCCCAGTGCCGCGGGGTCGCACTCACATTGGGCCTGTTCCCAAAGGCGGCGTGGAAGGGCTGTCGGCCCCCAAAGAGCTGCCGGATGTCGCTCAGGCAGGCGATCTTGAACACCTCTGGCTTCTTCTCGATCACCTCCCTGAGCGGCCCAGGGGAGCCAGCGGAGTACAGCAGCGTCAGAAGACAGGTCAGATCCAGCCCCCAGCTCCCACCCAGGCCTGCTGCGCCTATCCCCCACCCCCGCTGAGCCCCCCTCACCTGTGGAGGGCGGAGAAGAGGCTGCTGGGAGACAGCAAGATGGGGCCTCTGGGAAGGCCACAGCCCCGCTCGCTCACCCACCGCAGGTACCCCTTGGTGAGGTCAGCCATGCCGATGGCGCGCGCTGAGCAGTACAGGAACTTGTACCCATTTCTGGAGGTGGGAACAGAGCCCTCAGAAACCAGCTGTCCCCCAGCCGGCCTCGGGGCCCCCACTCAGCCAACCCTAGGCCGTGGGCCTTCAGACCCAGAGCCCGCACGGAGAGGGGTCTCCGAATGTACAGTGACACCAGTCCTCCAGGGGAGCAGAGTAGGGCCAGGAGGGCCGGGCTTGGGCAAGGAAGGCCAGAAGTTACCCCGAGAGAGAGAGCTGGGGCTGCTGCCGGACCAGGCAAGACCAGAAGGGTCGTCTCTGCACTCCAGGGCCCAGAAGGTCCTCACCCCCCACTCCCCCGGCTGGCTGTCCACCCGCCCTACCCCTGCCCCCTTCCCTCTCTGGTGCGGCCACCACCCCGGCCCAGGCCTCACAGGTGGATTTTGTGGTACAAGCTGGTGATGCCCTGGTGTGTCCAGTCTTTTCCCAGCTGGGGCAGGATGTGGCCGAGGGCGTCTGACCTAGAGCCGTGGGGAGGATGTCACTGCCAGGGCCCCCATCCTGTTTGGTTGCAGGGGGCGGGGGGAAGAGGGCCCATCCCTCTGCCCCCAGCCCCAGGACGGCCGCCTCTCCCTGACCCCCCTCACTTGGTGATGGTGCCATCAATGTCAGAGATGACCACTTTATCATCCCATTTCCACAAGTAGATGGTGGCCGTGCAGCGGCAGGTGCCCTGGTACTGGGTGGTCACGCTGAAGACCACGTCATTGGCCCCCTCTTGCAGGTTCAGCCGCCGCTAGAGACGGGCAAAGGGGAAGAGTTCAGTGACTATCCACAGCCAGCCTGGTGCATCCCCTCACGGCTGCGTCTTCCCCTTCCCCCAGTTCCAGGACCTGAATGGAGGAGGGGACAGCTCAAAGGGCAAACGTGCATGCCTGAGGTCCTGAGTCTGACTCCGGGCACTGCTGGGCCCAAGCACCCAGAAACTACTGACTCTCAAAACTAGGGCAAGCATGGCTGGAAGGGCCCCCTGAGGCCACTGTCCCTGGAAGAGAAGCTTCCTGGACCCACCAGCGTCCACTACGCAGACATGTCCTGTGGGCAGGAGATGGTCCTGACTGTGAAGGAAGCCTAGTAGGGCCTGTGGGCCCTCCTGCTGCCCCCCTCCGCACCCCGGGGATGGAGTTCAGACCACCAGCTTCTCAGGTCAGCCCTGAGATTGGCGCTGCTTTGGGCAGTGAGTCTCCTCCCTCGGGCCAGGTGCCCGGGACATGCCCTCAAGAGAGACCTAGCACTGTCCTGGGTCCACTAAGAAGGACAGCCAGTGGCTGAGGCTTTAGGGCCCTGCAGTGGGTGGATGTGATCCCCCAGGGACCACCCAGATGGCAGCTGGACTCCTCCCGCACCCTAGAGCCACAGCAGAGGAAAGCGCTCTTGTTGCAAAAGCCACAGGCCACTGATATGCAAGACGCTGAAGCCCAGGGCGCCAGAGCCGGGAGGTGGACGGGACCCTCGGCTCCTTCCCAAAGACAGACCCAGAGAGCTGCCCCCCACTGGGGAAGTGTTACAATGACAGGAAGTGCCTTTCCGGAGAGGTGGGCTGCCCCAGAAGAAGGGGGTCACAAGGATATGTGGGCACGTACAATGATGAACACATGTGTTCACGTGACCCTATCACAGGGGCAAGTAGGTACACATGACCCATTCATATAGATATGATCTGGTCACACTTAGGGCTGATGTGGGCACACACAACCCATTCACATGGACATGTAGAAACACATGATCTGACATGAACAACCTATGATCTCACATGTGTGCATGCATGATCTGATAACAGAGATGTGGGCATAGACATGATCTGATCACACAGACACATCTGAACACATGGTTCGGTCACACACGGGCACTGTGCCCACCATCTCTTGGGCACACACTCACGATCTGATCAGAGGAGAGGCGGAGTGACTTCTTGTAGGTCGGCGTGTAGGCTGGAGGCGAGGGTGGCAGAGAGGGGACCTCCAGGACCACAGGGCTATCCGGGGCGTCGTCCTCACTGCTCAGCACATCCGCCTTCTCCCTGTGGGCGCACGGCTCTCAGGACACCCCTCAGCAGCACCAGGCCTGGGCGGTCCCTGCCCCTACACTCCCAGCAGGAGGGCTGGGACGTGCTTGGGGGTCACAGCAACAGCGAGGTAACCGCAGAGCCAGAGCCCTGACCACAGCAGGAAGTGGAGCCCCTTGGCAACACGGACCTGGAAACCTCACAAGTGCCTCTCAGGGCTAATTCCCAGCTCTCCAGCTTCACTTGTGGGGGCCAGCTCACCCCCAGCCCACCTGGGGTGTGCAGGTGGGAGCGAGGCCAGCCAACCTCTCGAAGAGAGGGAGACCGCAACCCTTCCTGACACAGGAGCCCTGATCTGGGTCAGGAGCCTGGAATCTGAGCACCTCTATCATTTTCCCAGCTGGGGGAACCTATGGCCTAGTTCTAGGCCTTGGTTTTTCCGATCTGTGAAATGGGGACATTTCTCGGGGGGAAAAGCATGCAGGAATGACTGGGGACTGACAAAGAACTTAGGCCAGGGACCAGGGATGGAGGTGCCCCCCAAATCAGCCAGCAGCTTCTGGGGTCCCAGCCCGGCCTGGAGATCACTCACCCCCGCTGCTCCCGGGCTTTGGTTTTCTCCCTCTGGGCACTGCGCTGTAGGAATAATATCCATCCAGTGAACCCCACACACCGCCCCCTGCTTCCACTGGTGACCCCCCCCCCACACACACACACACATACACCCGTGGTCGCCATGATCCCACCACCTACCTCCTCGGCTGAGAAGTCCCTGCGGCGCCAGGAAAACCACCAGCGGCCCCCCTTACGCGGCATCTTCTCCTTCTCCAGCTTGTCCACGGTGCTCTGTGGGCAGACCAGGGCCAGGGCATGTCCTTCACCGTGGGACCCTCCTCACAATTCTAGATTCTCCAGGCTGGGTCCCGGGTGAGTGAGTCTTCCAGGAAGGCCCATGCCTGGCACACAGTGGGACCCAACATGCGAGGGCCCAGAAGTGAGCACTGCAGGTCGACCTGGCAGGGGTCTGGGGGTAAGGCGAGGAGGGGGTCCCTGGCTGCCAGGTTCCCAGGCCTCCTGGGGAAGCCTCCCCTTGTGACACAGGTCATCCCTTCCTGGCTTCTGCAGTGCCTCTGAGGTCACATCCAAATCCAAGGGGATTTGGCACCTTAGGGACCCGGGGGAGAGGTAGGGCTTCTGGAACTGGGCGCTGTGTTCTCCTGTGGGCAGCCTGGCAGTCCCAGGCCCATCTCCGCCTACCTTTCCCCTCCCCTTCCTGGTTCTGCACCCCTGTCCCCCAGGAGGCCCGGGTGCTGTTCGTTACCTTGGGCAAGTTCTTCTGGAAGGCCTGCATGGAGAGGATCATGGGGGCAGCCACCGCCCAGCTGTAGTGTCTGGAGGACAGACAGGGTGTCGGGTCAGCGCAGCTGCCCATGTTGGACGGGGTGACTAGCCCCCCACCCCCACCCCACCCCCGGTACTGACTTCTCATTCACTTTCACCACCAGGTTCGGGTCGTCCAGCAGGCCGGGGTTCTGGGTGAGGTCGTGGTAGGAAACGGCGTGTTGCTGGAACTTCTCTGGGCGGGGCAGCAGAGGATGAGGGGCTCCTCCCCACTGGAGGTTTTGCCCCGTTTCTCCCACTCTGAGTCCCAAGCTAAGTCTACCGCCCTGTGTCGGCAGTAACTTGTTCCCATGGAGCCCAACGGTGTGTGGTGGGGTGTGTGGTGGGGACCCCAAGCCCAGCCTCTCTCCTCCACGCCCAGGCTCTGCCTTGTCTTGCCCTGTCCCCAGAGCTCAGGGTCAGTCCTTCGAGGGGCCAGGGCTGGGGTCTACCTGGGGAGATGTCGCGGCTGTCAGCCAGGCCCCCGCACAGGGACAGGGCCACTGTGTCTACCGTGTCTCGACTGGGCTCCGGTTCCTGCTCAGGGTTGGGGTCCGCCGGGGGCAGCTGGCTGCTGGGCTCACTCCACCTCCTAGCACCCAGTCCGCTGTCGCTGAGGACACAGGGGTCAGTGGGGACATGAGGAGCTGGAGGGACTCGGCCCGACCCCCCACGCTGCCCACCTCCCGCTGCACCCCTCACCTCTTGGGGAAGTAGAGGGCAGCGTTCTCAGAATCCAGGGAGGAAAGGTCATCCAGGTAGATGTCACTGGGGCCCAGGTGCTGGCTTCTCCTCAGTGAGCCTGCAGGCAGAGAGGGGACGCAGTGTCCTCTGTCCAGTCTGGGACATGGTGCTGAGTACAGCTCCTGGCACCCAGCAGGTCCTCCAAGGGGGTGTCGAGTCCCCAAGTGCACCTTGTAAGGTGAGGCTGGATCAGTAGCAGGGGTTCAGGGTGGACACTCACCTTTCCTCCCGGAGACCCCCTCTGGTGGCCGGGGAGGAGCGGGGACCTCCAGGGCTGCCCAGCTCCAGGACTTCGAGGCGAGAGGGGGGCCTGCGTCCCGGGCACTGTGAGGCTTGGGTTGGGCAGGAGGAACCACCACAGCGGGCCCCTCTGTGGGAGGCTGTAGCTCAGTGCCAGGCCCAGTGTGCAGGACTGGGGGGGCCCCGGGGCTGAGAGTAGGCCCGGGAGTGGGAGGCGCGTGGGGCTCTCCTGGGGAAGGAATGTCTCCCGTGCGGTTCTCGGGGAGGTCCGAGGACTCCGTGCGCTCAGCTTTGGCCACCTGCGAACACATGGGAGACTGTGAGGGCAGGGGTAGGCTGCCCCCGACCCCCCTGCTTCAACCCTGTGCCCGGGAGAGGCAGAGATGGGGGCTGACCAGGGCACGCACCTTAGGGAGCCTCCCCCAGGCCCACTGCATGTGGGACTCGGCTCGCAGGGGGCTGGGCTCTGGGGTCCGTAGCTCCAGCTCAGAGTCGCTCTTGGGGGATGTCAGGTCACCGGACGAGAGGCTACAGGAGACAAGAAGTCAGAGGTTGGGGCTGGAGAGATAGCACAGCGGGTAGGGTGTTTGCCTTGCATGTGGCCGACTCGGGTTCGATTCCCAGCATCCCATATGGTCCTGAGTGCAGAGCCAGGAGTAACCCCTGTGCATTGCAAGGTATGACCAAAAAGCAAAAAAAAATAAAAATAAAAAAGAAGTCAGAGGTGCCCGAGCCTGCCTGCTGCTCGCTGCCCACCCCAGCTTGGGAACACACGACGTGCCACGACGCAGTGAGGCCTGTGGTCCTGCTGAGGAAAGAGGAGGCAAAGCTCAAAGTGTGCTGCGAGACTGTGAGGGTCCAGCAGCAAGCCGACAACACACCCCAAAAGCGGGCACCGCTGTGACTGCCAAGCAGGCGCTGGTTCCACTTGGGGCGCTGGATAAGTCCTGGAGCTAATTAGGGGTGATGTATATTACAGACAACATGAATAGGCCACTCAAAGCTACTGAACTGTGCACTTTTAAATGACTGCCATGATAACTTTTATGCTATATGTATTGTATAACACCACTCACACACACACACACACACACACACACACACATACACACACACGCATGCACACTCACACGCACACAAATATTTCAATAGATACCTTTCAAAAATTACACAAGTGGCCAATAGACACAGAAAATATGTCCCAGAACAATAAGACAATAAGAGTGGAGGGCCAGAGTAATAATGCAACAGGTAGGGTGTTTGCCTTGCACATGGCCGACCTAGGTTCAATCCTTGGCATCCCATATGGTCCCCCAAGCACCGCCAGAGTAATTCCTGAGTGCAGAGCCAGAGTGGCCCCTGAGTATTACTGGATGTAATCCCCCCCCGCCAAAAAAAAAAAAGTGGAAACCATCCTCAGACCTTGATTTTTGTTATGGGGCCACACTTAGCGGTGCTCGGGGACTTACTCTTGGCTCTGTGCTCAGAGATCACTCCCAGTGGGCTCCGGGAACCTTATGGGATACCAGGAATCGAACGTGGGTCATCTGCATGCAAGGCTCTCCTTGCTGTATTATGGCTCTACTCCTTTTTTTTTGTTTGTTTGTTACTTTGGAGGAAGCCACATCCAGTGATGCTTAGAGGCTACTCCCGGCTCTGTGCTTGAGAGTCACTCCCAGGGGCACCACGAGGAGCCCAAGGTGAAACCCAGATCTCCTGCGTGCAGAGCCTGTGCTCAGCCCATTGACCCTCTCACTGAGAACCGAGACCTTGGTCTTATGTCTCCACCTGCTGCCCACCTGGACTCTCACCTGGTCTGGGGGGGCCACTCGCCATCCGAGTAGTGGTAGATGTCTTTGGGCTGTGGTGAGGACTCTCCTTCCAACTGGATGCTGCTGAGGAGGTGGTCACAGGGAGAGAAATGGTCACTGACAGACTAGGGCACCCGGGGCAGGGTCTGGGAGCCTGAATGTCAGGGGTCAAGGAGAGTAAGGCGTTTGCCGTGCATGTGGCCAGGGCTGGAGCAATAACACAGCGGGTAGGGCATTTGCCGTGCACACAGCCGACCCGGGTTTGATTCCTCTGCCCCTCTTGGAGAGCCCCGCAAGCTACTGAGAGTATCTCGCCCGCACGACGTATTCGATATGCCAAAAACAGTAACAACAAGTCTCACAATTTGTTGTGAGACGTTACTGGTGCCCGCTCAAGCAAATAAATGAACAACGGGAGAACAGTGCTACAGCGCTACAGTGGCCATGGCCGGAGGAGCGACTCTGGCCCAGAGAGGTCAAGTCCCTTGGCGGGCGTCAGGCAGAGGAATCAGCCCCTGCATCCAGCCCCACGCACCCCGGAGGCTCAGGCCTCGGCTTCTCTGACGGGGACAGTTCAGGCTCAGCGCCTGCGTCCAGTTCATCGGAACTCGAGTCGGTCGCCACGGTCTCCTCCTTCCGCCGCGGTTTCCTCCTGCGACGCCTCTTCTTCCGCCCCGTGGAGGCTGTGCCCCCCGTGATGGCCTCGGGCTCGCTGGTTGTGCCCACCTGGGAGTCCGAGGGGAGCCCAGGCAGGCCCCCCCAAGGGAGGGGGGAAGTGCACAGGCGGGGGGGCACGCGTTCCTGAGGAGCAGACCATGGGAGAGGCTGGCTCTCCCCAAGACAGAAAGGAGCCCCCAGCCCTGCGCAGGGCCTGCCTGTGTCCCCTGGAGGTCAGGCCACACCTGGGCATCAGCCTCTCTCCTGTGCCCGCACCTGCTGTCCCTTTCAGACTCATCCCGGAATCGCCTTCTACAGGGAACTTGCCCTGATCAGCCCCAGCCTGAGTTCCAACTCCCCTCCCTGCTCCACACACGCGCTGCTAAGAGCTGGACCGGGACCCTTCTCTGAAGACTGGGCACATCCCCTCTCTAGCCTCACTGCAGGATGGGTCACACCCCAGGGGTTCAAATAGAGTCTGCTTCCCTTCTGCAGACATCCCTCCCTTCACCCTCCGCACCCCCTACTTCAATGCTCCAGCTGACCAGGGTCCACCCTGGATCCCAATGAATACTCTCGGGCTCCCTGGCCTCCCTCTGCAGCTTTGTGGGCAGGGAGGGGGAGGCCCAGCTCAAAGCTCCTCTGTTGAGAGCTCCCCGGAAGCAGTCTTCCTCCCTGCCCCCACCCCTCACCCCTGCATCTCCCTGAGGGAGTGTAGTAAAAGGGAGGACTCTCCCCCCCCCACCCACCCCTGCCGCCCTGGGGCTGGAGCGATAGCACTGCGAGTAGGGCATTTGCCTTGCACACAGCTGACCCAGGTTCGATTCCCAGCATCTGACATAGTCTCCCGAGCACCGCCAGGAGTAATTCCTGAGTGCATGAGCCATGACTGACCCCTATGCAACGCCGGGTGTGATTCAAAAAGAGCAAAAAAAAAAGGGGGGGGGAACCCCTGGGATCTCTCCAGCACTTCTTGCCTCCTCATCCTGCAGCTCCTGGACGAAGAAGGCCTCCCCGCTGTCCCCCAGCTTCATGTGCAAGTCCACTGGCTCCCCATTGATCTCGATGTCCACCTGGAAGGAGGCATGGTGGGGAAAGGGGCACGCACAGTTCCACTGCCACTGCCCACCCTGCCCCCTCCTGGCACTTGATGGAACTCTCCTCCCCCTCTGGCCTCTATCTCCCAGCTGCCCCCCTTCCTCAGGAAGGCTGCCCCCAGCCCTCCAGGCACCCCCTCCCTTATCTTCCCCCATTCTCTGGCTCTGTGGCATGCAGCTCTTGTTTATGCCCAGGCTTCTGTGTATGGCCCCAGGTCACAGATATGTCGGTCTTGGGGTCCCATGGGGGACATCAGCAGACTGCATCCTCAATTTTTTATGGGGGGAGGGGTGGTGGAATTGGGTCACAGCCGGCGATGCTCAGGGGTTAGTCCTGGCTCTGTGCTCAGGAAGCAGTCTGGTGGTGCTTGGGGGACCATACGGATGGAACCCAGCTCAGCCATGGGCAAGGCAAACACCCTTCCCGCTGTCCTAGCGCTCTGGCCCCACATCCTCGCTTTTTAAACTGTGGGTCACGGCCCCATGTGGGAGACTTCCGAGAAATTTGTTTTAGGGATCAAAGTGACAGCTCAATGGGTTGAGCACATGTTTTGTCTGTGGGAGGCCTGGGTTCATTCCCTGGCACCACCTGTTCCCCCTGGCATCCCAGAGGTGACCCCCAGAGCACAGAGCCAGGTGTAGCCCCTGAGAACTCCTAGATGAGGCCATTCCCCCACCCCCCACCATCAATTTTTTAAAGTGATTTTTTTCTTTGTCATCTCTTATTGGTTAATAGTTGGTTGTATACTATCTTATATACTTCTGTACCCAGGATTGCATACAAAGGCAACAAGGGGTCACAAGTGAAAAAAAAAAAAAGTCCGAAAAGCCCCAAGACTGTGTCACAGTGGTGAGAATGGCGATTTTCTGGATACTTCCCAGAATGGTTCATGATCAACTTTTTCTTCACCACACCCCAACACAGGAGCCTGTCATTAGCCCCACTTTATAGATGAAGAGACTGAGGCTCAGCTGGGTTCTGTCACTCCCTGGGAAGCAACCACATGAGTCCATGAGCCCCCACACAAACCCCTAACCACTGGACTATACCGACTCCCACAGGATATACTTTCCTATTAGAATTCCAGAAAGTTCCATCATTGCCAGGTTAGAGGATTAAGGGCTATTTAGATTCACACACTACACCCCGCTGGTGACCGAACCGTCCAGTATGTCTGAGGCTGTTGGGTTGTAGGGAGGTCTGACCAGCCAGTGGCCCAGGGGCCCCCAGCTGTTTCACTCACACCCCATGTAAGTCCCTCATGAGAGAGCAGTCTGCCCCCAATACCAGGGACAGAGTGGGCTACATTCGGTGGAAAGTGACCCTAACTAACCCAGACCCCCTCCAAGGACTGCTGACTGGTGCTGGGGCCTGCTTCCTACTTCTTTGCTCCAGCTGACCAGGGTCGACCCCAGACCCCACTGAATGCTCTCGGGCTCCCTGGCCTCTTTGCGCAGCTTTGTGGGTGGGGAGGGGGAGGCCCAGCTCAGTGCTCCTCTATCGAGTGCTCCCCAGGAAACAGTCATCCCGCATAGGACATACCTGAGAAGGGAAGCAGGCCCCACTGAAGGGAGGCCGCCCCCCGCCCCCCGGACCACAACCCCACAGCTGGCCAGTACTCACCACCTTCTCCCGGGAGCGCAGGACGCCCAGCTTGCCGAAGCGCACGTGGAAGGGGGAGCACCGGAAGGAGCCGTCCTCCTGCTGCACCACCAACACATCGATGCCGCCACTCAGTGTGGCCGGGTTCAGGCCCCGGTACAGCTCCTTCACTGTCCCAAACACCGTCTCCGCCAGCTGCCCCACATAGTTCATCGCCGGTGCTGGCAAAGGGAACAAGGAGTAGTTCACCAGGTGTCCCTGGGGAGCCGTGGGGTCTGACACTGCCGCCCACCCTGCATTCCCAGGCTTACAGTCTGCTGCCCTCTGAGGGCCCCGCCACCACAGCAGGCTGCAGTCCCCAGGCAGGATGTGGCTTCTAAGCCCAGCTGGCCCACTGACTAGTCGTGGGGCACTTGTTCATTGGCTGCGTCCCTTTCCCGAGCGCTGTTCCCCACGGCTGTCAAATGAGGGCACTGGGACCAGCAGGCGTCTCTAAATGCCATGAGTAATGATCATGACCACAGGACTCCAGGGCCTGCCTCGGCCCTGCACACGCCAACCTGTGAGGCTGGCCGGGCAGGTGTCATTATTCCTGTTTACAGACAAGCCAGCAAGGGCTCAGAGAGGTGATGTGACTTGCCCAGCAACTCACGATTGGGAAGGAGAGAAGACAGGATTTGAACCCAGGGCTATAGGGCTGAGCACCCTAGGAGGGCACCCCCACCTCCACCCGCCAAGACCCCACTGTTGGAACAGGAGCCATCTGGGATGCCATGGGGAAGAGAATGAGTTCTGGAGAGATCAGGCCCAGGTCCTTGTAGGTACAGGAGACAGCCGGGAAAGCTGCTAAGCCTCACCTCCTGGGAGGTGAAGGACTCTTGGGTTTGTTTTTGGTTTGGGTTTGGGGCACACCCAGTGGTTCACAGGGACCACTCCCAGCTCCATTGTTTAGGGCTGCTCCTGACAGTACTCTGGGGATCATGTGGTGCTAGGGATCAAACTGGGGTTTCCGGCATGCAAAGCTTGCCCTCAGATCTCTGGCTGAGGAGGCTCAGTTATTCTATCTGTGAAATGGGTTCAGCCGTTTAGAAGTGATTTATCTGTGGGGTGATAGGTGGGTAGATCAGGTACCTTAGGCTCTACCGAGCTCTACTCCAAATGCTTCAGACTGGACCTTTCTAAAGCTGGGGAGGGAAAGAGCCTTGGGTTTAAAGATGCAAATCCCACACCCCTCTCCCGTTTCTCTGAGATGGGTGGGGGGCCGTTCCGGGTCCATGTTCCGGTGCCATATCTCTCGGGCGTAGGTCTTGGTCCCAGGCCTCTCTCCTGCGATGGGGCCCACAGGCAGACCTTTAGCTGGCCACGCTGGTCCATCCAAGCTGCTTCGGCTTCCCCCAGCCAGACCGGTCCCTCCAGCTTCCCTGCAACCAGGCAGCGCTGGGTGTGCCAGAGCAAGAGGCTGTGTGGCAGTCGTAAGGACAAGCCAGTGTCATAATGAGGGCCAGCTCCAGGCTGGCATGGTGCCTGGACTGCCAGCTTCAGCTTAACACCCCTTCACGGCTGACAACCTAGGGGCCTCCCCCGACCCCACCATCGTCTCTGGCTCCCAGGCCCTCCAACATGCTCTCTCGTAGTCTCACTGGTCATGAGGGACCACCCCTCAGTGAAGTTAAAGGACTTTCCCCAAATCCTTTCAAGCTCATAGGCCAGGAATGGGGAGAGTGGTGACGCCAGGCCTGGCTTCCTGGTCCTGTCCCTACTTCCCTCTACTCTGCAGACCCCAAGCCACGCACAGAGTCGGCAGCCCAGCCCACAGCCTGCATGGCCAGGCCTCTCACGATATGCTCCCTGGTCCCTCGGTGTCCTTGTCACCTGGAGGCAGGTTAGTGAGTTCGAGTCGCAGGCTCCACTCAGTCTTTCATGGAATGGCCTTCTACTACCCCTATCCCTGAGGCTGGAGTGACAGCACAGTGGTAGGGCGTTTGCCTTGTGCGTGGCCAACCTGGCCAAGCCAGGTTCAATTCCTCTGCCCCTCTCGGAGAGCCCAGGAGGTACCGAGAGTATCTTGCCCACAGAGTAAAGCCTGTTACACTACCCGTGATGCATTCAATATGCCAAACACAGAAACAACAAGTCTCACAATTCGAGACTTTACTTGGGCCCGCTTGAGCAAATCGATGAACAACGGGAGGACAGTGCTACAGTGCTACCATGATCCCTGAGGCATTCAATTTTTTTAAAATTTAATTTTATTTCCCCCTTAGGCTATATGGCACTAGGGTTTACGAAGTTGTTCATGATGATTTGTTACAGGCACTCAATATTCCAACACCAATCCCACCACTATAAACCTTCCCTCTGCCATAGTTTCCAATTTACCCAAGCACCCCTGGCACATTTTGAGGACAGCTCCCTGTTCAGGCCCAGGGCAATGAGGGCCAGGGCCCCCAAGAGGGCACATCTTAGAGTGGTCCTGGATGTGCAGGGAACCAGGGGCTAGATGAGGGGGCGGGGTGGGTCTTGACCACCTGCTTCATAACCAAAGAGCCCGTTAGAATTGTTCAAGTGGAAGAAAATAGAAACTCTCTGGAGGCCCCTCAGATTCGATAACTGTTTCATTGCAAGACACCTACAGGGACCACTCCCCCTGCATCACTCTAAACTCTGCTAATGTGGGTCTGAGAGGGAGACAGACCAAGCGGGCAGGGTTCTAGATTGCCTGCTGGGTGCAGGAGAGGCAAAGAGGACTCCAGAAGCTTCCAGCAGTCAAGGAGCAAGTAAGGGAGGGGCAGATGGGGAGGGGAGCAAAGGTCTGTCCTGCTGGAGCTCTGTGCCCTGCAGAGACAGGTGAGGCTTGGCTTGACCTCAGACTGTTTCCCTTGGGGAGGATTCTGTGTTGGGGGAGGATTATGGGTGTTCAGAAGCATCCCTGAAACATCTTTCCCTCCAGTTGAGACAATCAAATTATCTCCCAACACTGCCACGTGGCCCCTGGGAGACAAAACTGATCCTGGTTAGGCATCACTGGGGTGGTGGAAAGGGCTGGGTGGCTTTGCTGACCTCAGTCTTTTTTTTTTCTTTTTGGGTCATACCCAGTGATGCACAGGGGTTACTCCTGGCGGTGCTTGGGGGACCATATGGGATGCTGGGAATAGAACTCGGGCTGGTCGTGTGCAAGGCAAATGCCCTACCCGCTGTACTATTGCTCCAGCCCCTCAGTCTTTCTTTTAAAATATTTTAATAGGGCTAGGGGGAGTTGGAGGGCTACACCCAGCAGTTTTCAGGGCTTGCTCCTGACTCTACACTCAGGGATCACTCCTGGAGAGGAGCTTGGGGGACAAGATGGGATATCGAATTGAACCCAGGTCAGCCGCCTGCAAGGCAAGTGCTGTCCTAGCTTTCCGCTGGTCCCTCCCTCCCTCCCTCCCTGCTGTCTCTCTGGCCTCTCAGTCTCCCTTTCAATGATTGAAACCTGGCCGCGGTTTTTCCAGACCCTTATCAATGCTGATGTGATGGGAGCCAAGGATTGATTCCTCCTGAGACTCACTATCCCACAAATGGATGCTCAGCACTTGGAGAGACTCCGGGAAGCCAAGCCTCTCTAGCCACACCCCTCCGGAGGATCTCTCTTCTCTAATGGGTCCCAGTTCCTCTTTCGTGGTTTTTCCTTGCTTGGCCTGACTTTCCTCCACTGCACCTCCACCTCCCAACTAAATTCTTTCCTCAGAGGACCCCCATCGACCAAATTCCTCTCCAGACCCTTTTCCCAGTGCTCTGCACCCCAGTCTCCAATACCTGTTCACCCAGCCCCTCCCTTCTCTTGGTTCTGTCACTGAGGCCAAGGTTTTATTACAGGTGGCATTCAAGGCCCTGCACCAAAGGGGTCCCAAAATTTGTATGTGAGCAGTGGGGGTGCTCTAGGTGGGCCTCAGAGGGTGCACAAACCTCACAGACCACTCTGGCCACACATCCAGGCCAGGACACAACTTCACTGCAGGGCAGCCAGAAGGGAGGCCCTGTGTTTGTATGCTCAAGACTTCCCAGGGCTCCCAGATCCCAGGAGGGGTGGGGAAGCGCACCTCTGGCCAGAGAAGGGCAGGATAAGCATTCCCAATGCCCTGGAAGAAAGGGAGGAAGCTCACTGCCCTGGGAAGAGGAAAGGTCCAGAGGCCTTAGACATAAGCATCTGACGTGCCTGAGCTCGGGACAGTTGGGGCAAGGGTCACATCCTGTGCTACGATGATGGAGGACACTCCCCTGGACACAGTAGCCAGGTGCCCCCAGCGCCCCTTCTTTCCCCAGGCCCACACAGTCATGGGGTGATGTGGGACCGGCGTCCCCCGGAGAGGCTGTTGAAAATCAAACTCTCCTGATCCCACCTGCAGGATGCCCAGAGGGCCCACTGCCCGCCCCGCTGGAAAGGACCACAGGGAAGCGGCTCCTCCACTCTGGAGCTAGAAAATGGAACTCAAGCCCAGGAACAGGAAGGAATGAGGGTGGGAGGGCATGACAGGGCGGTGGGGAGTGCCGCACGCCCCTCGGTCCAGGTTGGGCCCTACCTGGGGAACTGCCCACTGGACCTCCGGGCCCGGAGCCGCCGCCTCTACGTGAGTGCACAGGGTCAGCTGGCAAGTGTCCTCGGCCCAGCACTCACTCGGCGCTTCCGGCTCCTTTAGGACCGGGTGAAATCCCAGCTCCGCCCCTTCCACTAGCCAAGTGCGTCTGGCACACGGGCCTACCCGCCGGGGCTCCACCCCCCGAGAAGACCCCGCCCCCGGCCAGGCCGCCCGCCCCAGGGCGGCCCCTTCTCCAATAGAGGGCGGGGCGGGATGGAGGCCCCGCCCCCTCCCGGGCCACGCCCCGGACCTCAAGGCCCCGCCCCGCCCCGCCCCGCCCCCGGCGCGACGCGGCTCCGTCCCACCCCCGAGGACAGCGGAAACGCGGGGACCTTCGACTCGGGCCGGCGCAGGTCCTCCCGGCCAGGCTGCCAGCTCGCTGCACTGCACTTTTCTTTTTCTCTCTCTCTTTTAAATGGGATCACCGTGAGCTATGCAGTTGCAAAGTTGTCCGTGACTGGGATTCAGTCACACGGTGTTCCCGCACCCGTCCCTTCTCCAGGGTGCGTTTCCTGTCCCGCCACCAAGTCCCCAGGTTCCCTCCCGCCACCCTCCCTGTCTGTGTCTGTGGCAGGCACTTTTCTCTGCTCTGCTCTCTCTCTCTCTCTCTCTCTCTCCCTTTCTCCCCCTCCTTCTCCCTCTCTTCCCCCCTCCCTCTCCTCTCTTCCCCCGTCTCCCTCTCTTCCTCCCCTTCCCCGTCCCTCTCCCTCCTTCCCTCCCTCTCTTTTTCCCTCTCTCTCTCCCTCTCCCTCTCTTCCTTTCTCCCTTCCCCTCTCTCCCTCCCTCTCCCTGTCTCCTTCCCCTTCTCCTCTCTCCTTCCCTCCCTCTCTCTCCCGGCCCCTCTCCCTCTCTCTCTCCCCATCCCTCTTCCTCTCTTCCTCCTTCCCTCCCTCCCTCCCTCTCTCTTTCTCCCTCCCCTTCTCTCTCCTCTCTCCTTCCCTCCCTCTGTCTCCCGGTCCCTCTCCCTCCCTTCTTCCCTCCCTCCCTCTCTCTCTTCCCCCTCTCCCCCCACCCCCCACACCGCTTTCTGCTTTGTGAAACGGGAGAGTCGCTTTGCAGGAGTTTGGAGGTTCCTGGAAGTGACTTGGTGAGAGACAACCTGACATCCAGCCTGTCCTCGGGGGCAGCTCTCCCTGACCACCACCACCACCACCACCATCCTGGTGAGGACCTCCCCCCCCCCCGCCCGAGTCATCACTTAATCACTTAATCACTTAACTTCCCGTTAGTCGTCGATTTGCTCGAGCGGGCGCCAGTAACGTCTCCATTTGTCCCTGTCGCGTGCTAGTGTAGCCCAATGGCATCTCTTCGCTCCGGGAACATGGAGGGCCTCAAACCGATCGTTCATGACCTTGACAAAGAAGTCTGACCATCTGGTAGGTGGGCGGCCACGCGGTCTCTTGACATCCCGTGGAATCCAATCAGTAACAGCTCTAGTCCAACGGTCGTCTTTAAATCTCATTACGTGACCAGCCCATCTGATTTTCGACACCTTGGCAAATGAGACAGCGTCCCTGATCCTTGATCGTCGACGGATGTCAGAACTCGGGATTCGTTCTCTCATTTGAGTGAAACGTGATATTCCAAGCATAGCTCTTTCTATTCTTCTTTGGGAGACCTGAATGGCGTTCTCATCTTGTTTGCGTAGGGCCCAGGTCTCTGAGGCATATGTTAATGCAGGAAGAACAGTGGAATCAAAGAGATGTGCCCGGAGCCGGAGGTTCTTCGTCCTCTTAGCTATTTCTTCGACGTTCTTGAAGGCGTTCCAAGCCGCTCTCTTCCTCCTGCGCAGCTCGGGTGCCAGGTCATTTGTCATGTTGACCTCTCGACCTAGGTAGACATAGCTGTTGCATTCGGAGATGGTCGTTCCATTGAGAGCGAATGGGGCGTCAGGAACAAGGCTGTTTCTCATAAACATTGTCTTCGTAAGATTCAGCTGTAGTCCTACCTTTCCACACTCACGGTCAAAGTCGGCCAGCATTTGTGCCGCTTGGCTGATGTTTGGTGTTATTAAAACAATGTCATCAGCAAAGCGGAGGTGGTGTAGTTGCCGACCATCTATCTTCACTCCCATTCCTTCCCATTCCAGTCGTCGCATGATGTTCTCGAGGGTGGCACTGAAGAGTTTTGGTGAAATGGTATCACCCTGCCGCACCCCTCTCTTGACATCAACGATCACTTCTTTGTAGAATGGTGAGATCCTGGTAGTGAATCCGCAATACAGCTCACGGAGGATCCTGATGTATTGGGCTTGAATGCCCTGATTGGCTAGGGCTTCAATGACCGCTTCCGTCTCAACAGAATCAAAGGCCTTCTTTAAATCAATGAACGTTAAGCAGAGCGGCATCTTGAACTCCCGAGAAACCTCAATGAGTTTGGTTATCGTGTGGATATGGTCGATGGTGCTGAATCCTTTGCGGAACCCTGCTTGCTCACATGGTTGTCCTTCATCTAGTGTTCTGCCAATCCTATTCAGGATGACTCGAGTGAACAACTTGTAGATGACAGACAATAGGCAGATCGGGCGATAGTTGCCAATGTCATGGATGTCTCCCTTCTTGAACAGTAGTACGGTCCTGCTGGTTTTCCATTGAGATGGACCACACCTTCTACAAGATCATTGTGGGTGATTTTAATGCCAAGATAGGACCGAGAAGATCAGCTGAAGAACTTCACATCGGAACCCATGGCCTAGAATGGAACGAACAGGGTGAGAGACTGTCTGAGTTCATCATGTCGACCAAGACCATTCATGGTAACTCACAGTTCCAGAAGGCAGAATCTAAACGATGGACATGGGAGTCTCCCGGTGGACGATTCCACAACGAAATAGACCACATCATATTCAATCGACGGTTTTGCCTGACTGATGTCGCTGTTGTCCCAAAATTTCGAACGGGATCGGACCACCGTCTCCTTCGTGCAAAATTCTACTTCACAGAGCGGGGAGAAAGGGCTGCAAAGTTCAAAAAGAGAACTCCCAGAACGACCACCAACTGGGAACTCTTTGGTACTATTGCGGCAACATGGGAAGATGCCATTGTTGACAACATTGACGAGGAATACGATCGACTGGTTCAGCACCTCCATGAATGTGCGAGGAACGCCAAGAGAGAGATAGCCACAAAAAGTCGCCTTTCTTCGAAAACTCTTGAGCTAATTCGCCAGCGTGGTTTGGCGCATGCCTCAGGCAACCGCAAGCTAACGTCCGAGCTTGCAAAGCAGTGCAGAGATGCGATCAAGGAGGACCTCAAAGAGAGAAGAGCAGAAGTACTGGTAGATGCGGCAGAAGCCGGGAAAAGTATTCGTAACGCCCGCCTGTCCTTCGCCAACTATAAGACCAAGATGACTGCCCTCCGACGTCCTGATGGATCCATCACATCCTCCAGAACGGCAATGGAGAAGATTATCCATGACTTCTACTCAAATCTCTTCGATAGCCATGTCCACTTGCCGACATACCAAATTCCACAGGATGGGTATGTCATTCCCAACGTTCTCCCTTCCGAAATCCGACACGCCATTTCGTCAGTAAAGAAGCAAACAGCTCCCGGCCCAGACAAGGTCAGACCTGAACACCTGAAGAACCTGCCGTCAGTACTCATCAATACACTGGCTCGGCTCTTCACTCGCCCGAGTCATAGCGCTCACAAATAATTTTCCACGTGTTGTTTGAACGGTTATTTGACTGCCGCCCGCCTCTCCATTTGAATCTGAACTCCTCCGTGCGAGCGGGTCGCGTTTATTCTTGCACCCCCAGGGACCAGTTCAGTGTCGGACAGCAGCCCCCAGAGCCTGCTCGCTTCAGCCCGTGCTTCGGCCAGTGTCCGCGCGGTGGCCAGTACCGCCACTGGCCAGCAGAGGGCAGGCGGCGATCAGCCTTCTCGTCCAGGCCCGTAGGTGCCAGCAGCACCGGGACGCAAGTGAGCCCAGATGTCCGCGCTTTGGAGGGATGGTTCAGAAGCCAGAGAAAGGACTTTCCCTCTGGATCTACGTTCCGCTCTCCGACTACCTCTGAGGATGGACAGTCCCTGCCAGCAAGTGCTGAGAAGGAGAAGGAGGCGAGGCCGCAAGGAGGGATGTAGGAGAAAGGTGGGAGAGGCAGCACACGGTGGCAGAGCCAGGTTTATTCAGAGGCAGGGGTGAGAGGCGGCCGCCACTGTTCTGGGACACAGGATCACGAGGCGTGGTTGAGAGTGAGTGACTTCAATTGTGCATTTTAATTGAAATCATTTGATGTCAAGCATTCTCACTGGGTGGGTCTAGACCACCAGAGACTGATTGATGAACTTGATGAATTCCAGGACGGGTGGTAGATACCCCCCCCTTTTTTTTTATGAAATGGGAAAACAATACTGCTTTCCTGACCCAGAGAAAATTTACTGTGCCTTCTGTTTTCTGGCTAGTGTGGAAAGTGCGGGAGTGACACCTAGGCTTGACCAGATGTGACAAAAAATAAAAAGCCAAAACAGTTTAAAAAAAAAAAGAAGGGAAAAAGAAAAGAGAAGGAAATAAAAATAAAGGACACCCAGTGAAATTTGAATTTTTTTAACTGCTTTTTTTTTTGCTTTTTGGGTCACACCCGGCGATGCACAGGGGTTACTCCTGGCTCTGCACTCACGAATTACTCCTGGCAGTACTCAGGGGACCATATGGAATGCTGGGAATCGAACCCGGGTCGGCCACGTGCAAGGCAAACGCCCTACCCGCTGTGCTATTGCTCCAGCCCCCAATTTTTAAAAACTTTTTAAATTTTAATTTCTGGCCACACCTGATGATGGTCAGGGCTTATCCGTGGCTCTGCATTCAGGGATCACTTATAGTTCAGAGGCTCACATGGGATGCCAAGGATAGAACCTGGTTGGTCACATGCAAGGCAGACACTTTACCTGCTGTTCTGTGGCCCCTATATTTGAATTTTAGATAAACTTATTTTTAGTATAATTCACACAAATATTAAGAAGGATTTATTGTTTATTTGAAATTCAATGTGACCTGGATCACCTTTATTTTTATTTGCTATATCTGGCAGCCTTAAGTCTAGCCAAATATCCAAGGAGAACCCAACATATTGAATTTGCTCCTGGCCACAGCCTCTTGTTCAGGGCTGCCAAATTCAGCTTCCACCAGTCCTGCCCCTGCTCCAGAACAGGGCCTGGCTCCCATCAGTGCCTAGGGTGCGACCAGGACTCCCTGAAGGTCTGCCTAGGTTTGCTCTTCTTCCAGCCCATCTGTCCCATCTTTGCCAGGTTCCCTCTCCTTGGCATGTATCCCACCCACTCCCACTAGCAACTGTGAGCACCTACTGAGCACCCACTGGATGAGACACCCTTTGGGTTCTCACAGTTTGCTATGGTAAGGAGAGTAGTTACTGTAGAGCGATAGCACAGCGGTAGGGCGTTAGCC